CCCCAGAAGGGCTGCCAGGTGACCAATGTCCTAAAATGGCTGAGGCCCTTCTCACAGATGCTGATCATTGCTGGGCAGGAACTTCTGGAATAGGAAAAACATCATGCTGCCCTTCAGGAGGGTCATTAGTATGAACTCTGGAGGCTTCTGGAGGTCTTGAGATACTACCAAGTGTGTCTGTGGTCATAGTTACAGCAAACCCAGAGCAGGAGCCAGAACAGCACTGCATCCCTGGAGATGTCGCATAAACACACTCAAAGTCACCAGGCCCCAGTTCAAGAAGGACAGAGACTGTAACTCTTAGTGTCTGATGAGGAAGCATCCAGAAAGATCCTTAAAACAAACAGAATGCGTGGGAATCAGGCACTGAAAATAGAGAGCTTGCTCTGCCCAGGGATGCACTCTACCCTAGTGACTCCACCCATCCTGCTGGGCTCCTGGGAGCATCACCAGCAAGAGTTCTGCCGGCAGAACTGGAGACTGAACTGTATTAAGTTAGAGCCACACAGGCCCCAGGTCACTGGCAACCCGGGCACTGAACCTCAGGAAGCAGCCTCCCAGCTGTGGCTAGGACTGTACTTCCTCCCCAGCTAAATGATTGACAGCCAGCCTAGTCCAGAGAAATGCAGCCTAAAGGGAGCGACAGAAGGAGCAGAGGAGCCCTTTCTTTGTCCATCTGGCTACTGGATCCTCATTTCACCTCCCCACTTGTACCCTGCACAACCTGAGCTGGGCATTTGCTCACACCCTGTCCTACCCTGATGGAAAGCCAGGAATCAGACCAGCATGAACGAAGCCCACTTGATCACAACTCAGTGGTGATGGGAGCCCTTAGTGGTGAATCCAGGGATAGCTGGCAGGTGTTGTGAGTCCCTACACCAGCTCAGATCAGTCAGATTAGCCTGTGATGGGCCTGTCTGCCTGCTCTGTGAGCCCAGCCTCCTGTAGTCTAGGGGCAGACAACGTCTGCACAGTGGCTTCTTGCATTTCCTGGATGGGGAAGCTGGGTCAAGGGCCAGTCCCAAGACACCCAGGGGGTCATCCTCCCTTTAGATTTTTTTTTTGGGGGGGGCGGGGGGTTTCGAAACAGGGTTTCTCTGTGGCTTTGGAGGCTGTCCTGGAACTAGCTCTTGTAGACCAGGCTGGTCTCGGAATTCACAGAGATCCGCTGCCTCTGCCTCCCGAGGGCTGGGATTAAAGGCGTGCACCACCAACACCCGGCTCCTCCCTTTAGATTTTTGAAGGTATGATTTAAAATAAAATGTACCCTCTGACAAGTTTCTTTTTCCAAACTGAAAAGAGTCCTGGAAACACCAGGTGACACCTACTTCTACGATGAGATAAGCATAGGAACATTTTGGCCACACCTGGAACACAGTTGACTGGGCATACTCTTTGTAGTGTGTCTCAACACACCTTTAAAATTCAGATGTAGCCCACTCTGTAAAATTTAGAAACTACACCACAATTTCCACCCTCTACCCTGATTTGAAGGGCATAGGTATTTACGTGTGTGTGTGTGTGTGTGTGTGTGTGTGTGTGTGTGTGTGCTGGTGTGCACGTGCACACTCGCACGCACAGCACACAAGGGCCCATGCCATGGTGCATAAGTGAATATTGGAAGACAACTCCTGGTAGTCAGTTCTCTTGTTTCACCTTGTGGATCCTGGGGAGTGAATTCAGGTTTCCGGGCAAGCACCTTTATCTGCTAAGTCATCTTGTGAGCCCCTCAAAACACAATTCCAAGAGGTTTTTTGTTTGCTTGGTTTTCTGGGGGGGGGTTGTTTGTTTTTGTTTTGCTTTTGTTTTTTCAAGACAGGGTTTCTCTGTATACCCCTGGCTGTCCTGGAACTCGCTCTGTAGACCAGGGTGGCCTGGAACTCACAGAGATACACCTGTCTCTTCTTTCCCAGTGCTGGGATTAAAGGTGTGCACCACCACCACCCAGCTAACTTTGAGAGTATAAACAAATATTAGCCCCACATTCATGATACGGAACATTCTAGTGACCTACAATCACCCTCTTCCCTATTGGTGGTCAGTCTTCCCCTTTGACTGTGAACTGGCCTTTTGTCTCATCTTTTCCAAAGTTTGACACTGAATTTTAAAAGAAATAATAAAGCCAGCTGTGACAACTCAGGGCTGTCAACCCAGCACATGATAAGCCGAGGCAGGAGGATTGCCTTGATGAATGCCAGCCTAGGCTTCATAGTGATTTTTGGGATAGCCAGGACTACATAGAGAGGCCCTGTCTCAAAACAACAACAGTAAATAAGTAGATGAATAAATAAATAAAAAGTGGGCACTAAGCTGGGAGGGAGATTTTGTGGTGGGTTCTAGAGGGAGTTGAAGGGAGGATAGTGGTAGATGGACATGATGAACACAACTGTATGGATCTGGGGCTGGAGGGGTGGCTCAGTGGCTAAGAACGAGTACTACTTTTCAGAGGGCCTGAATTCTCTGCCCAGCACCCACTTTCTGGGCATCTGCACTTATTGGCACATGCCCACACACAGACAGACAGACACACATACACATAATTTTAAAAAATAGTAAGGAACTTTCAAAGAATAAGTAATACTATTTTTTTTTTCTCTTTCAATCAACGGACCCCCAAGCTAAGCCCTTCTGGCCGTCTGGGCATCTGTGTGGACCCTGAGAAAACAGCAGAGGTCACAGAAGTCCTGCTCACTGACTCCGTGAGATGTCAATCTAGAAACACAGTCTTAGCACCACACAGGGTACTGGAAAGTCCGGGAACTAGATCTGCAAGCCCAAAAGCTACAGAAGGCAGGCACCCCCTCCTCTCTCACCTGGAGAGGAGTCTGTAAGGTGGCATCAGCGCCCCCTGCTGGCAAAAGCTCTTTTCCCCCCTTTCTCTTTTTTTTTTCTCCCGGTGGTACCCGCCAAAATCTATGAGTGGTTACCCGGATCGCCAGGGCACACCCCCTCATTCTCCTTAAGCCTGTTTCATTCAGGACTCACCCTTTACTTCCAAATCATTGCTGAACTAAGGAAGGCCAGTTATAACCGACTCTCATTCTTTTGCATGAACAACCCAAGCTCTTGTTGATATATGAAAAAAAAAAGGTCTGAGTTCTCTATGCCCATTCTTCCATACACTCCACAAGACAAGCCCAGAAGCAGGCTGATGCGACTGGCCCAGAGTTCATCATGTAGCCCGCTGTGGATCTGCTGCCACCATCCCCCCAAGCCCCGAGACAGGCCACCCTGCCTGTCACACACAAGGTTCTATCTTCACTTCTCATGGATGTGCAGCACCCTGACACTTTTCAGAGCCTCGTTTTCCACCTGTTCAGAGATGGGAGTAAAACCCAGCACGGGGCAGAATGTTCTTATGGGGTTCCCTGGGGACCCTACAGACATTTCTCAGAACACTCCATTACCAACATCTCCACCTCTTCCGGATGTCTCTGAGAAGGGAGCCTAATGGAATGGGGTACTACCAATCGTATTCCACCCTCCAGCCCAATTTGGGGGGACTCCTCAGTGAAGCCTCGCCAACCTCCCCGGTACCCCACATTTATCACGGACATTAAAACGAAAGCCGCAGGAGAAGGCAATTAAGATTAATAGTCTGCGCTGTCGATTGAGAATCACAAGGGGGAAGTAATTAGATTTTACAGGAGGCACCGCTCTCTAAACCAAGCCTCACAGCATGGGAGTCCCCGGTCCAGAGACCTTTCGATGATGTATTTTTGTAAAGGCTTTCCTGGTGACATTCTCCCAGCGCTCCGTCATTAACGCCAGTCACTGATGGCGTCTGAATGTGTTGTGTTCCTCATTGAGATTCATCAGACCTGCCATCTCTCTGCTGTCCCGCCCCTGCAGACGGACCTCCCATCACTACTGAACGAGGCCACTACCTCTTTCCCCAAACCAGCCTCCCGGGGGCCCCACACCCAGGAGTTGGGGAATTGAAGGTATAATGAGAAAGGATAAGACTGAGCCAAAGACCCCTGCGAGGACCCTTTCTTCAAGGCCGGGGAATTCTCTGCAGGCTGCCTCCTTTCTTTGCAAGAGAGGCTCATGGAGAGGCCCCTATTCTCCTCCCACCTGACGTGCCGCCAGCAGAGTCCACCGTTGCTCCTAGCAGGCCCCCTCCTCATCGGTAGGCAGCTGTCCCTCGCGCGCAGACTCCGGGGCCTGATCACAGGCACAAGAGGAGACCCGCGGCCTGTCCTGCCTCTGCATGTTGGTCAGCCCACCCTCCTCGAAAGTCGCAGCCCCAGTGACGGTAGCCTTGTGGAGACCACAAGGCAGGCAGAGGACGTCCGCTCAGAGCGCCCCTCGCTGCGCTGTGGAGGCCGAAACTGGGGCTGAAGCGCCACCTAGTGCGCGCGAGTGCTCCCACGACGTCTCCACTGTCAAGGGCAAATACCCAAGAAAAGGAGGCCTAGTTCTGGGGCTAGGAGAACGTGTGAGAGTCGGATCTTCGAGGAAAAGCTAAGGGAGAGGACCCGAGACTCAAATTGGGGGCCAAGGAGGCAGAGCTCTGCGTGCCTTGCAGTCTCTAGTGACCGTTCAAAGCGCATCCCTCTGAGAGCCCAGGGCCGGGGACCTCAGTAATTAATAGTAAAATTAAAACCGGCTATTCAATTACCACCAGGCTGATACACATTGAACACTTACTCCCCGGGACGCGATCGCGAAGGGGAGTGGGGGGCTCCTCCTCCTGTAGATCTGGCCGGTCTGGGCGGGGTCACTGGGCTGGGCCTGAGAGGGTGTGTGCAGGGGGCGGAGACTTGATGCAATTAGGAGGAGAAAAGCTCTGATGCCACGGTCACCTACCCGAAACGTATATAAGGCGGCGTGCCCGGAGCCATAGAACCGTCGGAGCAGCAGTGCTGCGCGCACCGTGCTGCAAGTGCCCGCTGCCTTGTTGGCCGCAGACACTCTGCCTGCTATTCGCGTCTCCGCTGCATCGCAGTCTCCGTGCCACCTTTGTAACCGCGCCTCACGACCCCTCCGGAGGTGCCATGTGGAGAACGCAGAACGGGCGTGCCATGGCCCGAGCCCTGGTCCTGGCCACTTTGTGGCTGGCAGGGGCTGGGCCGGGGCTGCGGCGCGGCGCCCCGG